CTGCAAGTTTTTGAGTCGATTGATTTCGACATATTTCTTCTTTCTCAAACAGTTAATTTCGCTGAACGCAAACAAAGTTTTTGGCTACGTTACTCTTCTAAGCATATTAATTGAAGTTTACCTGCCATCTTGACAAAATCAGGCAGGACAACGCAAACTGATAATCAAAACGCAAAACTTTCAATCAGTTTTTGGTTCAGTTTTTCCGCCCAAACAACCATCTGATATGTTTGAGACCGAAAAAATAATGTTTCGTGAGAGTGATAACTTCTCCTGCTTTATATTCAAAGTTTGTTATCTGGTTGCAACGACTCATTCCTTTGCTCAACGGATGAAATACTTCCATTCGTTTTAGAAGAAGTCGTCCAAGTATTATCTTTCCTTGTTTTTGCTCTTTTTAACGTTATAATGTCAGAATTAACCTGGCTTTTGATCAGGTAAATTTTCTATGTTATTCCTTTTTATAAGTCAGCTTCAACCAATGTGATGAAAACTGCCGGCCAATAAGTATTCTACCAAAATTATCTTGGATCATGAAACGTATTGTCTACTCGAAGCAAGAAAACTTCATTAACCCTGAACAACGTGGTTTCGTGCAAAATGGAGCACCGTTACGCAAATGTTATCTTATGTTGACGAGCTCTATTACAAATCGACTCCAACAATCCGTGTGTTTATATCAGTTTCGATGTTCAAAAAGCTTTTGCCAGCGTGCCTCATCATATCCTGCTCAGGAAACTTCCAAAGCGTGGTTTTGACAAAAAAAAATTACTTCATTTGCCGATTACTTGAAGGTCAGGATACTGATGCAAAAAAAAAGATCCATTCAGATTTCAATTCAAGTTACTTCCGGGGTACTACAAGGCAGTGTTTTGGAGCCTCTGTTTTTGATTTTGTTTTTTAATGACTCTCTTGATTATGTGTTTAACAGTAAAATTTTTCTCCATAGCCATGAATTGAAAATTGTCCCCAATTCTGATCCTCAAAACAATCAATTCGTAATAAATAGCTTATCACAATGTGCGACTGCAAACGTCCCTGTTTTTGACCCATCAAAAACAAATCTCTACGTTTTAATGACAGTTACGAAGATTTTACCCATGATAGCTCGTCGCTTGAAACAGTTGATGTTGTAAAAAATTAGGTATTTTGTTGCAAAGAATTTAAATTAGTTGCTACACATCGAAACAAAAGTGTTTATAACGCTCAGATTCTTCATTTTTATAAAAAAAAAAAGAACTTCTCAGACGGCGTCATGCAGTCGCGAAAATTATTATTTATCAATCGTCAATTTTATCAATCTTTTTATTCTGCTCTGCGGCTTGGTTTCCGTCAATGTCCGGTTTGCAAAAAAAACTAGAGTTCTCAGCAAAGAGTTATAAAGTGGGTTGTCAGTAAAAACGATTTTTATGTTAGTTCTTTCGTTTAAAGCATCTCCCAATTTGTTTTTTGCTGCAAGGAACTGATATTCTGCTGCTCTGGAAACTAATTAACAATACCGTTGCCTTGTTTTACAAAATTGGAGCCAATCAAAAAGAACTTTACCTCAGATCAGTCAGAAACGGAGAAATTGAGTTCGTACCTAATAAAAAAAATCAGATGTGACAATAATTTCTTTAAATGCGCACCCAGAGCAGCAAATGAGATGCTTCCGATGACAAACAAAAACATAGACAAGACTCTGAAAACATTCAAAATTCCGCTTGATGAATTTCTTTTTGCGCAATCCTTATACAAATAGTTCCTGTTCTTTTAAAAAAAAGGTCTTAATTAGATAATTTTTTAAGTTGTTAAATCCTTAATATTTCATGTAGTTCATGTGCAATTCCATAAACTTATTTGATCGGAGTCGAACCTTTTTCTTCTTCTTCTTCTTCTTCTTTGATCATTTTTCGTAAAGTTTTGGGGGTTGAAACATAGCCATTTTTGCAATTTGAGACAATTAACGCGCGATAAATTTCGCGCTAGTACTGCGTAAGTGGAGATTTATTCCGTTTTAGAAATTGTTCCAAAATGGTTGAAGGAAGCTTTGTATAAGACAATATTCATTATTCCAACAGACGTTCAAAATTATTAATGGTATTTACTCATAAATTGTTCCGATAATTTGCCTGAAAGTTAAAGTATCTCAAACACAAATCAGGGTCAACATCACTTCGGCCAATATTTAAAAAAGAAGTAAATTCGAAAACTGTTTGTTAATCCGACTTTCTTAATGGAAGTAAGGGAACATTTGTGCTCGGGGTGGTTTTTCTTCAGACAATTTTCGAATTCTTACATAGCCCCTTTTGACAGATTATTTATGCCATTCGAAAGATATTGCTGTCTAAAGTTTAAACTGGAAAATTTATTTCACCTGTCATCGTTTTTTGTTTTGTTATTGTGGTTTTGAAATTCCCATTTTGGCCAATTTAGGACAATTTAAGTGCGATCTATTTCGCGCTATTAACGCGCAAGCGGAGATTTAATCCATCTCAAAAATGGTTCCAAAGTGGTTGAAGGAAGCTTATTTGCCATGATTGATTTGTTACTAGGAGCAAAATCTATCACTTTTTACCTTTTAGGGCGTGTGAGGTGATGACTTTTTTTAAATCTTAATTGCTTTTAAGAATTCGTTTCATTTTTTTACATTTAATTTTTTCCTGTTATTACTGGTCCATGGACTTTAAAAAGCAGTCAAAATTTTCAAGAATTCACCCTGATACGAGCAGTCTTGTTATCTAAAGAAAGAATAAAGATTACAGAAAGGATGCAATTTCTGAATTCTCTAAATAAACTGAAATATTTTTGATACATTTTGATATATGACCACATTTTCACACCGTTAAAAATGATATGCTGCTATGAAAAATAGCAATGTTCAGATTAAGGGGATCGGTGGTGAAGTGGAATTGAAAAGGTCTCAATTGAAAAGGTCGGATGTTAATAGCGCGAAACATTTCGAGTGTTAATTGTCCCAAACTTGCCAAAATAGAAATCTTTAAACCCTCATTACTTTACGAAAAATGATCACTCATGACAAATATATTTTTTAAAATTTAAGCTCAAGACAAAAATAATTTTTGAGTAATATAAAATAGTTCCGTCAAAAATAGTTAAAACGTCGAATTTTGTCTGACAAAAAAACTCACCCCGAGCACAAATTTTCCGTCACTTTCCTTACCGTCACAGACATTGTTTGTGTATTTGGCAAAATAGTTGAAAAGTTTAGAACCTGGGCACCAAAAGTATAAAAAAACCTGGATGAAAAAGATTAAACTTACTTTGATTAAGTTAAATTAAAAACAATTGTGTTTAGCTCAAATAAATTTATAACTTGATCAAATATCTAAAGAAAGGAGATAAAGAAGAAAGCATGAATACTTTTGTTTCTATTTTTGTCAATGATATCCAGGAAATCAGAATTACATTAATGTGGTTGTTTTGCAGACGGTGTTCTTTGATTTTGAACAAGATTTGAAAAAAAAATCATAACTTAAATATTAAAAACCTTGATAGATTAAGATTAATCTTGCTATGATCAAAGTAAAACAAAAACAAGCGTTTTAGCTCAAAGAAACCAATAAACCGATGTAAACAGAAAGTGACAATAAGTTTTTTTGATGTTCAAATTGCTTGAAACTTAATTTTCATTGGACACGTCCAAAATAACAAACAAAAGTGAGAAATTCAAATAATCTCTCTAATAAATCTTAAAAAATTTTCTTCTTTGAAATCTTCTTTATGAGTAAAAAAGCTGGAGCCATCAACTAAATCATCAGAAGGCAACCCTTATTAATGTCAGCACATCAACAAAATTTCTTGAATTTACTGCGGAAGCAACAAAATCTTGAATGGAATCGTAGCAAACGCAGTCCAGGGATGTAAGATCAACGAGACAAAAACATAAAAACTGCATACATGCGAAGTTCTAAAAGTAAATACCAAACATCAAAACAAAAACTTACCAGGATAGATGTAAGTATAGTTCCGTAACAAAAACAACTGATAAAAACCCAATAGGTGATGCATCAATCAAATTACGTCTAACGTCTTAAGCCTAAGCCTTACCCACAAAAAATCTGCAATGAGTAAAAGTAGATGAGAGAGTCAGTCTTCCTATTAATTTTGGAAAATTTAGAAGGTCTGGAGCTGCGCGATAGAAAATTAGGTGCGTTTAAAATTTGGTGAAATTTCATAATTTTCTTTTTTTATATCGACAAGTTGCATGTCTAGATTGTATGTCTCATTAATTTTGCCATATGTCTAGATACAAGTTTTCCCACAGTTCAATCGAACAAAATCAAATAATGTAGAACTTTTCATGGATAATTGCTCCCAAATCATCCCTGCAAACAGGCTTGTAGAGAGGAGCGGATTTAGGGGGGCGGGGGTCGGACCCTTCTTCTCCCCTCAGGCACTCGACCCCCTGCAGACCCAAAGGATCACCCTTTGTACTATTTTGAGATATCCATATTTGATGACGGACCCTAAAAATTTTCTGAAGGCGCCTTTAGCGCCAATATATACTAATTTTGAGAGGGGGGGGGGGGAGACTTGTCGAAAAAGCGCGATTTTGTGGTCAACATTTTCCAAAAAGTGCCTAAAAATGCCTATTTTGGCCTGTTTTTTTTCTTAAAATTTTTGAAATTACAGCCCTGCCACCTCAAGAAAAAGATAACCCTGGATCCGTCCCTGCTTGTAGACTCATGATGTCTAACTGAGCCGGCGTCCGAACAGAATCGTAAAATTCCCGATTCGCGAATGATTTCCAAACTTCATATACCTTATTGATAACAAAAAAAAAATGCGAAATGCTATATTGGGTATCGAGAAAGGCTGGAGACTATTAATAGTTTCTCTTTAGTCCTTTCTAAATTTCTCATTTGCATGATAAACGTTTATTCGAGCAAGCAGTTGTCTCTTTTTGAAACTAAGGAAAATTCGGGCAGTTGTCTTTCTTCTTGGAATTGCAAATGAAAAATCGTGAAAAATTGAAATGAACTTGGATCTACACCTACCATTACGTTCCTGCCGTCCTGTTCTCTCTTTGATTTCACCTGTACCATGTTGGGGGCTGGATGGATGTTACTATTGGGGTCTACCTGCTCTTTGCTCCTCAGGTGTCGGAACAGAATCTGCGCGTTCTCCGGGGGAGACAGAATCACCACCTTTTTTCCTTTTTTGGGTCGAGAAAACGACATAGTAATATCTGCAATTGTTGAGCTAGAATGAGCGTCTGTTTATATATAATGCTACCGTTAATGAAGAGGGTGGAAATAATGATTTATTTCATAAAACAAGAACTATTATCAAACAAACTAAATGTTACATTACGAAACTGAGTGTTTGTTCGTAAACAATTATAACGTGCTCTTGATTTGCGAATTGTTTCATATTTAGATTCAAAGCACTGTTGCGACAAAGGTTTTAAAATAACAACCAAGATATCCAGAAACCTGATATGAACAGAGGCGGACCTAGAATTTTCTTGAAGGGGGAGGGGGTGGACGGAATTTAAGACCATTTATCCACGGGCAAAGGACCAACACAAGAGCTGTGCAGCTCATCACGGCGAACCGCTGTTGTGCCCATGTTTGGTTATTTTTTCTGGGCTGGGTAATGTTGCTTCACTCTCAAGCAACGAGCAAGGATCATGGTTGGCCTCGAACATCCGACCTCTCGATAGAGAGGCGGAGACGTAACCACTTCACCACCGCTCCCCTCAAATTTCACAAAACAATCAAAAATTTTACTCTTCCTTTTTTTAGACCTATACTAATTTTGTCAACCATATTGATTTCCCGAGCGCTCCCAGAACAGAATAAAGACCGTATTTTGACCAAATTATCTACGCTGCAGTCAAATTTAGAAAAAAAAACAACGCGTTAGTCATCAAAATTGGAGGGAAAGGGGAGCGTCTTATCCTCCTAAACCTGCCCCTGGACTAAATGTGATAAAATTGTTCAACCAACTACTTTCTGAAAAAAGTCCGAAAAAATGACGTCCGTTTTTGTACCAAAGGATGTTCCGTTCATACTCCTCTACACAAGTGAAAAAGCTGGAAAAAAAACGTGTTGCGTCAATTTTGTCATAACTTTAACCGCGTCTAAAAAATTTAAAAAAAATGAAATTGAACAGCAAATAATCAAATTTTATTTAAAACGTAGAGAACGTTTTATGTGCGTTTAAATTCACATCTCAATATAAAGGACAAAAACTCGTTATAATTAAATTTCCTTGTCTTTAATCTATAAAAGTGACAAATAAATGATTAAGACTGATTAGCAAAAGATTTTTCAATGATTTATAAAAAAAAAATTAGCAGTAAAATCCATTTTAGTTGATTATTGTCAATTTTTTGTTTTATAAACACTGACAATAAAATTAACATTAGTCAATTTTTATCCATGAAACTCTTTTGAGGGATGGTCGGCACCGTCAGAGATTACTCATGAAGATGAAATAAGACTGTTCGTATCAGAGCAAAGCCAGCGGATTTAGGGGGGATTTGGTTTGTCTACCTAAAAAAATCCGATAAAATTTTTGAGCTTTTTATAAAACACGCCCCACCTTCCTCAAGAAAATCTTAGATCCGCCCCTGCAAGGCAAATCACTAAATGTTCTGACGGCCTATTAATTGGTCTCGCATAGTTTTTTGGTGTATTAAATAATGACTACAACTACAAATTTTAGGCTGATAATATCAATGTTAAAATTTGAGTCGTTTATGCAATTAATAAAACCAATTGAATTCGGAACGATTATGAGTGCGGATAATTTGCCACGCATAATCATTTAGCGTATTGAAACATAATTTAGAAGTATTAATCCGGTAAAAGCGCCCGCACGGTAGTATAGAGCAAGCATACTAGCTTGGCAATCCCAACATTTCCAGATCGATGCTCATACGCAGCAAACATTTCTTGAATCGGTCTGAATAAAAAACCACACTGGGCAAGTATTTCCCTCAATTTCTTCGAAATTCGGACCAATAAATGTCTTCAAAACAGACAAGGATATATCCAGAGACAATAACTCAATCATAGATTGCACATGCCAATTAAACGCAAAGTCAACCCCGCACTGGAGTTACATGGATAAAAATCCATTATATTGTCATTTCATAGTCGGTATCTATAAAATTAATAAAATAATCGATTAAAACTAATCGAAAATGGATTATAATCCTAATATTTTTTTTATATCAATATAATCCATTATAGGCGATTATAATCGATTATAATCCATTAAAAATGTATTACATATCTTATTTTTTTATGTCAATATAATCCCTTATAATCCCAATACAATCCCTTATCCCTCTATGTACCGGGCGGGGTAAAAAAATTGGAGGGGCAAAGTGGAACAACTGATTAACGTACTTTCCCCGTCCCCGTTCAAAATGGTAAACAAACTGTGGGGGGGGGGGGGGGGGGTTGGGAGTAAACTTTAGTAAACCTGGTGGTGGCAAACTATGATCACAGAGTAAAAAAGGAACGAATATACGATTAAGAATTGCTAAATTGAATTATTTAGACGATTATATCAAACGGAGAACAAACTAAGAGTTTGTAAGAGGGACGCACTCAAATTGTTAACAGATGTCAAGCAGCGCTCATAAATAGGGTTCAATTTCAGATTGTACTGGAACCCGTTCTGAACTAGTAATTATAAACCAATTTTACTATTGATAAAACAATCTCTATAAAATATTACTAACTAACCAATCATATATCAACTCTAACGTTGACACTCATTTGTAAGTGCTGAAAATACTTGTAGTTTCAGCGCCAAAACAATTTTAATAAATCTTAAATCACAGTTTTTCTCCTTCTGGATAAACTCCAAGAACTGACTCGTGAAAACCAAAATACACTAGATCTTTTGAGACTAGGAGATATATGAGTAAGGTTAAGATTGGTATTAGACTAAGGAATTGCACGAATCTATCCGACCGAAAAACAAGATAGCGTGACGAACAGATGGTGTACCTTATCTAAAATTAATCTATGAGTACAGGCCAAAGGTCAGAACTCGTCTGGTGCGACCAAAGGTCTCGAACAAGTCCTTAACTAACTTAGAATTAGAAAATTAAACTTAGAATTAGACAATTGCAAAATTGCAAAAATTTTAGATGGAATAGACAGTTTAATAGAAATTTCTCTATGTTTCAAAAAATCTACGCTAATTTTCCAAGCAATACAAGCATTACCAGGTATTGCAAGAATACCACGATCAAGGCGTGAACAACGATCACGAAACGGACCGCCCTACTACATGAAAGTACGACGGAAATCGGAACAAAGTTTTGTATTTTGAGTACTTTATGCTGTAATTTTAATTTTTCATTTACTGACAAGAAAATTACTTGAAAAAAAATTCTTCAACAACTTATTGCAGCAAAACTTACTTTTTTAAAACAACGACTGATGAAAAGAGCACAAGCCGTTTCTCCGAAAAATCTGCAGTAAATCAAAACTTTTAAATAAAAAAATTTTTTAAATAAAAAATACAAAAATTAATTAGTTTTAAAAAATTATTGTTAGTTCTATAAATAAATACATATGATTTTCCTCAACTCAGCTTCATCACCCAAAACATAACTTTAACAAAACTCCAACTTTTAAATTTTCTTAAATTCAAAACTTTTACCTTAAATCTTTTCAAGGCTTATCCTTTCTTTTACATAATTCGTTTTTATTTCATAAACAGGTCATCAAGGTTTTCCTTGGATCTTTATTTTCACTTAAAACTAAATTTTTTTTATTTCTGATTATCAAGGTTTCCCTTGGATCAAATCAGAACATCTTTGTTCTTCCCACCCCATCATTTTGAAAAGTGTTTAACGACCTCAAACTTCGATTCACACTCCAACCCTTATAAACGACTCAGAATTTTATGAAAAACTAACCATTTCAATTAAGATAAACACTGAAGAATTTCGGTTAATCATCCTTCACTTGAGCTCTTCCTCTTAGATGATCCAGGCTAAAACCCTTAAATAATTAGTAAGTCATCAAATAGTACCTGACGATCTACCTGTGTTCTAATCATACCTGAACCTTGTGAATTGACTTATTATTCTCTAATTCTTAATCACAAATCACAAACCCTAGGTAAGATTAAGTAAGTCAGTCATGAATCAAAACCTAGTCACGAGAAATTAAAAAGTCATTCTCACGAATTGATATACTCTCTCTCCAACCCGTCAACCACGACAGCCTATGCCCCAAGTTAGGATAACCACGCAAAAACCGTAAGAACTAACAGTTTAGTAAAATAAAAACTCTAAGTCCCAAGTATGGCACCTATCATCCTAAACCTTAATTCACGAGATAACCTAGGCAGTAAACAAGAAATCATCTTACATATATGTTTAAATAAAAACGAAAGATACGATCTTGTAATCACACCGCACAGACAAACAATAGGATTTATTAGATAAAAAGACAAACACAAAAAAAGACAATTATAACAAAGCAAAAGTAAATTATCAAAAGAAGATTTTCAAAAAGACGAAACGCAGTCTCAGAATCAGAAACAAACACAATACAGGAACTTCAAGACTTTAATGATTCAATAAATAAAAATAACCCATTAGAAGATTAAATATATTTAACTGACTCAAAAGATACAACACAATCATCATTTAAAGGAAAAATCAGAATAAAAAAATCGTACATTAACAAACCAATACGCCTATATAATTGGAATCAACCAATAAGACACATTGAAAGTTCCACTTTAACAGTTCTACAATACGAAAAATGATATAATACGACAAAAATTTCAATTAAAACACGATACATCCAATTCTCATACAACCACAAAGTGATCCCGCCCGAGGACAATCACATTTTTGTCACAACTTAACTGGAAATTTTATTTGAAAAAAGAAGTAGCCTATGTAAACAAGAATTTCCTGAATTAAGAATAAAACGACAAATTCTTGACCAGTGTCTCAAAAGTATATGTAATGTTACATCATATTACGGTATATTCACAATCAAAATCTTATCACCATACTCAAATCACCCTACACATCAAATACAAACAGCTGATATAGATTTAGAAATCTCAAAAGTTTTCACAAACTATATAAAAATTATATAACAACAAAATTCAAAATGGGCATATTCAATATTCACAAAAGATGTTTTATCAATTATTTATAGCTACCTATCTATATTAGAAGTGAAAAAAAAACACAAGGTAAGTCACCGCCTCAAACATCCCGGCACTCAACTGTAAGACAAAAAATCTATCTTTTTTCAAAAATTTTAGATACAATCCGTCAAAACCTTATTAGTAACGAAATTTCACAAAACC